ATTACAATCTTGCTGTTTTTCAAGTCGATCAATAATCCCTAAATAAACATTACAATAAATTCAAACTTTTCATATCTATAAAGTCTATAGCTTTAAATCCATTCTTCATGGCACACATTTGAAAATATAACAAAAACCAGTAGCAAAAACAATATCATAAACACATATATGTTTATTCATTATCACGTCTTTGTTCTAAATTATGATAAACCTTAAACATACAATGACAATAAACAACAAAATATCAAAACACACACGCATACATATAACCACAACTGCCAAGATTTATTTACTTCAACACTTCAATACTGGTCGAGACAATTCCAAAAATAGATGTATTAGCATGCCTGTAAAGGTAAATAGATGTGTATAAAACATAAACAGTCCAACATAAAAACCTTAAATATATAACGTTGATGACAAATTTCTTGTTACTATATTCCCATTACAAGGTTTACGCCTGGTGAACTTGCAGGTGCATGTAATGTCAAGGGAGGTAACTTCAGTCACAATTTGGGACTAGGTACGAAAAAATGGAAAAATTACATGTTTATACCCAAATTTGTTAAACTTAAACTTAAACGAAGGCTTTAGACTCAATGATTATCCAATATCATTTAAAACTGAGTAACATTAACGGCAGAACTAGCAGAAGCTAAATTTATCCATGATACCACTGTGCAGACCAAGATATGCACCTGTGCCTTCTGATCGTGGTCTGCACTGTTGCTATTCAGTCTGTACATATTGAGAAATATACCAGATCAATTTGTTTAGGCCAGGGACCAGAAAAAAATAACTTTGCTAGGCCTTTGTCACAGGTCTTGTAACCCTTTCTTTTAGCTGACAGTCACCAGGGATGTCCAAATTCAAAGCTGAACAAGTTAATATACAATTTTAGCAAGGAATTGTAAGGAATCTGTATAAATATTAAAGACTTCAAATTTGATCATTCTTCTCTGGGATGGGTCTGAGGTTATAAAACAATTCTCAAAGCTCAAATATCCGGCCTTTGATTGGTCAGAAATTGCTACAAAATGTACTATGACCTATGAAAATTATGAGATTTGAGACAGAACTCAGAAAAAAGTTTTACATCTTTGCGGCCAGGACTCTTTTATATAAATCTATCATATCTTTAAGTCTGAAACAATTAAAATCTAAGATAAACTTCAAGTACCTTGCATTGGTATCTATTATTGATTTCTCTATAGCAATTGTAAACATTTACATTTTCAATGCTATTAAATAATAAATATCTATAATTATGTAAGGTAAAATAAGTTATCAAACAACCACTTGTTTTGTTTGTTAATGCTAACACTGACTAATGTACTGAGATATGAACAGATTTATGCAGTAAAATATATTTACATGACGTAACATCACGTAAATTTGTTTCACCAAAAATATAATGTTAACCTTCTGATTGCTGGTGGTGGCGGAATCTACCCAGTCTGTGCTACCTGAACATGACCAGCCTCAGGTTCACTTTGTATTCAGTTGGTACATTTTGGTGACACAGAACATTCACTGTCATTGTTACAGCTTCTTCAATGAGTCAAAATTATCATTTTATAGTATATCTTAAAGTGCCCTCACACATAAACCACGACCTTACTGCGACCTGAAAACTAGTAAAATAGCATTTTTCTTTCGAAAATCGTTGGTTTTCTTTCAAATTTCTCTCGCAGACGGTCCGGGGCTCTGCAGTCTTGTGTTCAGTAAGTTTTCTCTATGTCCTCAATACGACCCTTCTACGTCCATGGCGTTTCCACTGCGACTGTATTGCGTCCCCAAGGCGACCCCACGGCGATCATCGGCGACCCAGCTGCGACTGTGCTATGTTCTCTGCGTCCTTACGGCGACTCTACGACGACTATTGCGTTTGTCCGGCGACTGTCCTGCGACTGTACGACGATCCTACTACGTTCTTGCTACGTCTATAAAAACAATACTTTTTACCAGTAAATTTCATTCTGAGTCTGACCTTCAACGAGTGAAGACGTATATTTAATTAGTATTAAGTTAAATCATCCATATTATTCCAAAGATGAGAGGCGGGCGAGGCAAAAGAGCGAGGGTCTCTTAAGTGCTACAAGTTGACCCAGTCGCCGCTTCAGATATGCAGTTTGGTAGTGGTTCACAGTGTGTAGAAATCGCGGCTTCATCCACTGACGGAGACGCATACAAACAGTCTTCTAGTGGTCCACATACGGCGTCCTAATTACGAGTGTACTACGTCTATTGCGTTCTTATTGCCTCCTTACTGCGATGCTGCTGCGACTATGGCGACTCCACTGCGATCCCACAGCGACCTAACCAGGACTCAGCAAGAACGCAGAGTTTCTGCGACTGTTTTGTGCACGTTCAAAATAGTCGCCGACGGTCTGCGACCTTGTGCGTCTTTGGGTTCCTCGCTACGACCTCGCTGCGTCCCTGCTGCGTCCATGGCGACTGTGCTGCGTCCTGGGTCGTAGCAAGGTCGCAGTAAGGACGCAGTAAGGTCGCGAGGTATGTGTGAGGGCAGTATAACAATCTTACATCCATTTGTAATTATCATACCTGATAATGTTATTTAGCATACATATATATAAATGCAGGAATATAAATTAATTTCAAAAATGTATTTTGAATGAATCATGTTAAAACTGTGTTAAATGTTTGCCTTAATTGATTGGGCAAGTTCATTAAATTTCAACTCATTCATAACAATTAAAATACGGCAATTTATCTCACTGAAAGTTCCTTTGTTATAAAGTAATGATGAATTTACTACATGATATTCCATTATTCTAATTTTAGAATCCATTAATTATGATTTAAGATGGATTATAAATACTAAATAATGGGGTTTTTCCTGTAATGTCATTCATTCACCCAAATAAAGCATTTCAAAATTTTTCTGAGTAATGTTTCCTATCTGATGATCTCTGTTTTCATATTTCAAAAGGTTACACTTTATAATATAAATACAGTATAACATTGTCCTCATTGTACATGCTATTTTGCCATGAATCAGAATTGAAGCATCAACATTTCCTCATGATTTATAATAATTTACATCAAACGGAAGTAGCATTATCTATTCAAGGACATTCCATACGGTATTTACATTCAATCAACTACTCCATTGAATATTGTTCCAATTGAATTTCAAAACAATTAAATATATTTGATCTGCATACATAAATGTGACAGTGTAGTTCCAATATGTACATGTATTTATACTGAATAGCCTAAAGTACACATTCCTTTCAACAGAACAATACAGTTTTAAAAATACCTGAAATTTCAGCAGGTCATTTAATGTCTCTATTACATTCTACAATGTCATTTCCTGTAATATCTTTTATTTGTTAACTGTCAACATGTACTTTTATTTGAAAATGTCTTTCAATTCTCAAATGCATAGTAAAGTATTAATGAAATTATCATGTGTCATAAAAAAAACCATCACACCTATTTCATCACATAATAAGTGATATCATTCTATCTAATCTTTATTTTTACTTTTAATACCTGTATGCCTTATCATCCCTTACCTAAGTGATCTGTGTAACTTGAATTGTCCTACTTTTTGAATTTTGAACTCAATATTTATTGTGTAAGGCATTTAGTATTTCAATATCATAGGATTCATTGGCCATCAAAATAATAAGGAAAAACTAAGTACATACTTAGTACAGATGTGTGGCCCTCATTTCATGATTTTTGGTGCAGAAATTCAGCCCCTTTTCCTCACTAGCATTTTAATTGAGACACATAACAATATCTTAATTTTCAACATTTCAAGTATTGTTGTTGGCAGAAAAAATATTCCTTTTTTTTCAGAATGACATGTAGTATTTCTCTACCTGAGGGCCTCTGTCACCAGACCCCTTTAGGCTAAGGGCCCTGAGATGTGAGTACCCTACTGCCTGATAAGTATTCATTTTTCAGGCATAAAATTTATCCTTTAATCTAAATTATTCATTTTGCCATACTTACTGATCATGAAAATCAAATTATTTAATTTTTTCTGTTGTGATTTTAGTTATATTAAATCTTTCCACTTTACTGGTGAAGGAAGACCTCTGGTGTCCCTTGTTGCACCCCTCATGAAAGAATTTAAAATAGCAGTTCGGATTTGAAACCAAAGGGGTAAGTGATTTTTATGTCAGCAACCTTTACTACCTGGCCAGGGAAGTCCCCAAAGCTAGAGCTCTGCATAATTTATGCCAAGTTAACCAGAACAAAAAATTTAGTACTTTAATCCCTAAAACTCATGTGCACAAATACCTACTCTTTATAACTACTACCTTCATCAAAAAATCTTTCTATTTTCTTCTATTGTATACCTATCATGTAACAGATCTTTAAATTGTTGAAAAGTATTGGCTTTCTTCTAACCGGTATTCATCAAAATAAAAAACCCTTCAAAACTATATTACGCAAGTTAACGCAACTCAATTTATATGCGTAGTACTTTCCCACCAGCCACTATTCTCAACCATTTATTCCTTGTTACACTATCTATCACATATATTTTAAATCAATCACAAACATTTCTAAACATTTTTTTTCATGAATCATTTTATTTTTTTTCTGTATGTGTCAATCGTTTTTAAATTTCTTAGATCTTGGCATTGAAAACTTGTAAATTAATATTTCACTTATATAATAGGATAAATAGGTTTATTTAATTGTCTAGCAATTGACAGTAACAACATGCAACATCACAATGACCGTGTTAATTTACATGCATATAAATTAATACACAACATGAACACTGGAAAATGGCTCAAAACATTGATGTGTGCATCTAGTTATATGTCAGCAGCGTCTTTCATGTTCTTTGAATAGCAGTCACACAAAATACAGGTAACAGTTGGCAAATTCATTTAAACTGGACCATTTTAAACAGATCTGTTAAAATGCGACAAAAGAATTAACTTTTCATCTGTTTTGATTATCAGTTTTTTTGTTGTTTAGGTGTATGACTAAAATATGGCAATTTTGACTAATTTGAAAACTGGTCAAATGGAAATATGCCATTACCATGAAATAAGTGATAGTGTGACTGGGCTTTTGTACCTTCTATAAAGGGGGCCTATAAAAGGCCCATTCACAATCCAAAATTTCACAAAACAGAGGGATAATTTCACAATTCCTTGCAGGTTTCGCTAATTGTTTTTGTTTTACTTTATAAATCCAATAGGACATGGATAAAGGTGTAGAAATTCAGTTTTGACCAATTTGAATCTGTGAGTTAAA